TAAAGAAACTTGCTATTTGAACAGAAATAGATAAATAGGTATTGCACAAAAAGAAAAAAAAAACCCAACAATTCTATTATTACTCCATCATGTAGAAAAGTTCAGATCATATCAATGCACACATTATTATATTATCTTATTTCTGTAGGCAAAGGGGATGGGGGGGAAAAGTTCATATGTTATTGGTACAATGAAGGTTACTGAAAGTTGGAAGTTGGGAAATGCATCAGTGACAGGTAGACAGACAGACAGACAGACAGACAGACAGACAGACAGACAGACAGACAGACAGACAGACAGACAGACAGACAGACAGACAAACAGTCAGGCAGGTAGAACGGCAGACAATCTGATAAAAAGACAAGACAGATTCAAGAAGGCACAAAGATAGGAAAAAATGGGTGGGTCTACACATCACTGGTATGTCACAGTCATGGTAGACAACAGATGGCAACACAGGGGGCATGGGACTAGTTCATCTCAACTTTTTTCTGTTTTGTTTTTGTGGAGGTTTTCCCAATAAAGAGAAGCAGTTATAAATTCATGGCCATTCATGGCTAAACAGACTTACAGTTTTATAATTAAGAGAAGTGAGTTATTTAAAAATTGGAGCAGTAACTGAATGAGATAGAAGGAGCCCTAAGACTTGATAGTAATAATAGAGATGTCAGAGTTGTATTATTCCCAACTAGACACAGTGTTGGTCATTTTAAAGGCAGTAACCAGCTGTTATAGACTGAAATAACTTCCGGTACATAGGTTAAGAAAAACAAAAGAACAAATTATCTATTCCAATCTCTCCTAAAAGAGATGATTAAGGTAGAACTTAGTAATTTTTCTGCCTGCACACTTTCCACACACATGCCTCTTTTTATTTTCTGTCATTAAAAAAAAATAAATGATTAGAAACACTGTCAGCTCGATATGACCATAATGATGCTCAAGGCAGTGACAGCAGTCAGCCATATCATCCCTGCAGAACTCTTAATTGCTTCCTCCGAAAATGTAGTTGTTGTTTTTTTTACCTAAATTCTGACTGATATCACACAACTCAACCTGCAATTAGCTTTCAGCAAAGTTAACCTATCCAAATAGTCGCTACAACATAAGATTCAAAACAGGTGAAATGTGTATAATAACCTTTCTTTTCAGTTGTTTTCACTTTCCTGTAAAATTTACAGAAAGCGAGCCAGCCATTTCAAATCCCACAACAATGACATGTCATTACTGCAGCCTTGAAGTCTTAATGAGCTAATCAGATATAACTAGCCATTGGTCCCTCTTATCAAATGCCAACATTGGCACAAAAAAGATGTCATAAACAATGCACTAACTTAATACGGAATGAATGGATGTTATCACAACCAGTACACTATTCGTACAAAGGAAAAGACACCCTTTTCAAATTAAAGTCATTTTAAGTTATGCGGAGGAGCGTAAATGCACATAATGATACATTGTAGACTTTTGAATTCAAATCACTTTACAGTAACAGAGTCCACTTACACCAAATACTGCGAGACCACCAGATTTTCTTCACTTAAACCCTGTTTTTGGTTTAGAGAGATTGCTAAAATAGTAAAAAAAATCGTTGTTTTCAGATTATCCGTGTTCAGTTTAAGCCAACACTATTGTAGATCTATATTTTTTTCCACCTGTTAGACAGTCAGGCGCACAATGTGTTCAGAAAGTTTGATAAAGAACCAGAAGAATGAGTGCTCCCTTAGGTCAGGGGTCACCAAACCTTTCATCCTTTCCAGAGTGGGCTGAATAACAGGGAAACCAGAGCATGGGCAGGATAACTATTTTGTCCAATACTTTACACAAATACATAAAAAATGTAGACAACCAACTGACCAAGATATATATACAAAATATAAAATACACACCCACAAAATTAAAAGTTTTTAAAAGTAAAAGCCTGTTTACTTTGCACAAGAGTTCATTGAAATATTAAATTATTTCTGTCACTAAATCAGGAGCATGTTACAAACATTGTCCTCCAAGAATTTTTTTTCCAAGTATGATGGCATGGCAGCGAGCCACAGGAACCGACTCCACTGGCCAAACTGGCTTGCTGGACAGTATGGTGACCCTTGCCCAAGGTGAAAAGGCAAGATAGTATCTCCTGACAGACAAAAACTTGATGAACTATGCCACAACCTGATTGATAACTGCTCAATCAAAATCAACAGAAATTATTTTTTTAAAAACCACCCACCAAAACCACGGGAGACTGTGGCAACATGTCTTTTCTTAAAGCTGCATTTCCTTGCAAGACTCCAGGTTCAGCAGGTTCAACTGACCACAACATGTGGCCACCACCTACCCACCCACATAACAAATACATCCACTTTTCATGACTCAAAATTTCCAAATCTATAGCTATTTATTTATCCAGAAGCATTTCACCAGTAATTCAATCATTCAGCATGTCACAAATGTGACAAAACCATTAACACTACACACATAGTTACCTTCTTCACGAGAAACTGGTTGTTTGTTGGTTTAAAGAGAAGCAAATCAACATAATGGTCATTTAATGGTGAGAAACAGTAAGACAGACAGGCAGAAACAGCTGAGGGAAAATAGAAAAGTAGGACCTACCAGTGGCACCCTCAAACCACCCGCAAGAGAAACTCTTGAGGAAAGCTTCATCAACCGAATTGTGTTCGACTAGATATCAATGTTCAATAAATCTTTATGAAAATTATGTTCAACATAGAGTTTTTACGCCCTTATCGACACAATTTACATCATTAAGGAGGCCAGCTTCTAAGTTCTACCATACCTTTCAGGGCAAAATGGGATGAGAGGGCTACATTGTCTCAGCAGAAAGACCCACATACTCAATACAAACTATCCCTACATGGAAACAGAAGTCAGGTCATTCTGCATGCTGCAGTGAATCACCCAACCACCACACCAGAGAGAGAAAAACAAGGTAAGAGGTAACTGAAAGAGGAGAACATCAGCACAATGGTCACTTGGGAAATCACAGAGAGAAGCCAACAAACAAGAGCTTGCCAGGGACATCTTCCAACCACCAAAAAACAAACAACTTCATACAGTTCAACAGTGCAAATACAGCAGCAGAGTGCACAAATCTGTGTATACACAAATTTACATAAAGCATTTCTCTTAAAGGTGGGAGAAAATCAAACACAATATTTCTGCGTCGGTCGCTATTGCACATAATTTCTCCTGAAATTTGAAGCTAAACGATTGTTCTCAGAAAAGCATACGTACAAATCTTGCTTTTTCTTATTTAGTCATCACAAGGACACGTTCTAAAAGCTAAAAAAAAAGTCAAGCTAAGCAATTGTTGTCTTTAACTCGTATCAATAAAATAAAAATAATTGACCACAAGTCTCGTCTTACTACTTTGTGCACTAGATCGAACTCTTTTCATTAACGAGCGGCGCATATTTAATGGCACTGAGACATATCTATGTGGGAGGCAATACCCACAAAACTAATAAATAAATGAAAAATGACCATCATGGACACAGCAGTGGTTCCAGTTGACCACATCAATGACTTCATTCCTGACAGACAACCTCTGGCACGCACAAGAAACACTTCAAGTTTACAAGTTATAAGAGAACCAGCGCCTGGGACATGGGAGACAACGTTTTTCCTCAAAAGACAGGTCCCCTTGTGTATGCAATGGTATTGTGAAGTCGGGGGTCACAGCCATTATGACAAGCCATAAACGGTAATCGCTGAATAAAGACGCTTTTATCTCGAGGTATCACTCAAAAAATAAAACTTCTATAGCCCAGGCTTTTTTCCTTCATAATTTCTTATTCGGATTCCATCCCTCCAAATGTAGCATTCAGGTTTGTGTTTAACTCACCCAGGACCAAAACGTCTAGTTACAAGACACAATCATTCCACTAAAAGGTAGGAGTTGACAGAAAAATGTACAAATATTCAACTAGGACACAACAATGTAAGATGGTGAAAAGCGCTGGTCAATAAAAGTCAACAGTGGATAATTGAAAAACATGCTACAGTATTTGGAACTAAAAATGCAAAGATGTAAATGCTTTGTGCATATAAAGTTTTGTCCCAACTAAATCTGTAAAAATTTGGGACCAGTTCAGTTATGTCAGTGTGCCCATGAAAGCTTACGCTCAGGTTCCACTTGGCAAAGACGGATGAAAAAGAACACAACGCATCTACAGACCGGTTGAGAATGGAGTAGACATACCGACATCGCTTACACCGAAGTTTACCTACAGCATCAGACACAGAAAAGCGAAATCCAAATTTCCATCCCCTTGTGCAGACCTCAGCGCACAGCCAGTGACTGAAACAAAACTCCAGGATCACAGGGCAACAGAATCAAGAATTTACAGCACTATCAAACACTCTTAGATCATGTAAGTGCCACTGACATAGGTGATATCTCAGGGTTCCTAAAACAGTTCCATTGAGAAGACACTGGTCACAGAAACATGTCTCACACACACAGTCAGAACCACAAACAAGTCACAATTGGTCCAGAGTTGTACCCAAAACCTGGATTTTAAAGAATCAGATTCTATTTTCCCTTTCATTATTTGTGTGTGTGTGTGCATGTGTGTGTGTGTGTGTGTGTGTGTGTGTGTGTGTGTGTGTGTGTGTGTGTGTGTGTGTGTGTGTGTTTTATATTATATATGCTCATATTTCCATTTCTCAGGATATTTTCACTTTCCTCTGAAAGAGAATTAATAAAAGCTATCTTATTGTATCTCACCTCTTTACAATGAGGAAAAAAAAACCCAAACAGTCAACAGCTGACACAGCCGGATTTCAGGGAACAGGAGAGCATCACAAAATACAACATGTGTATAACCAAAGTACCTACAATACTGAAACCTTCAGTTACTGACAAGAGTACTTAATCGCATAAATTTAGATACATTGGTTGACAGTTACAGACTTTTTCTGCTAGGCACACATATCAAAGTTGTCAGGGGGCAAACCAGTGAAGTCTGAAATTTCCTATTTTCTTTTTTTAAACACTTTGCTTCCTGCATCTGATTTCCTAAGAGAGGTATGAATATCAAGCTAAAGAAGAAAACACTTCTGATCCCTAAAGCACATGTACAAGATCCCGATTTCTGGATTTACCTGGAAAATGTAACCATCTATTCAAGTGTCAACGGCCAAGTAAATCAACCTTAGGTTTCATTCTGTGATGTAGAAGCTGAATAAATCGGCCACAATTTGAGATGCTGTTGTAACTCATTTATCCCAGTTTTTTTATACCGCCAAACATTTCAACTCCTTCACAAATAAGCTCTATTTCTTTTTTACACTGTGCTTTCTAACAAGGTATAGATTTATGGCATTTACTGGCTCACTTTGCCTGTTCTCAGACATTTTCCAGGGTACTATGGTGAATTCACTATTTGTTAGCGAGACTTGAAGGGTAAGCTTGCATGGACTTGGCTGGTTTGCTTTGACCAGCAATAATACTCGGTGCTTGACAGTAAAGCAGTAATGGAGTATTCCTTCTTATATATTCTAAAATATTTGACACAACCCAAAAGTGGACACATCACATTTGACTTTCTGGGACTACAATGAAGTCCCAAACTTCAGGAAACACCCCACTTTGAGTGGCTGCGAGCTACCAGTGTCATGATTCCACCACTCCGAGATACAGTGAGACAGCTGCCTCCTCCGCCCCCCGCCCCCACAGCAACGTTATCACAGTCACAAGTTGTTTCCTTCACTCGCCAAACGGGACTAGAGGCAGCCACAGAAGCAGCAGGACTGGGAAAGCTGATGCACGGGAGTGACAGCTGACCGAGTGGGGCCGTCCGTCACCTGATGTCCCACACGGCCTTGGTGTTCTGCACCAGACCGTCCAGGCCTTTGAGCGTGTTAAAACTCCCTGAGTAGAACACGAGGTCGGAGATCACAAGTCTGGGGAAACACAATTTGTCAATGTAAGAACAAGAAAAATACTTGAGGTGTGCTGATCAATTGAGTTTCCTCTTAGAGTTTAGCCCTCTTCCTAGGTAGAACTTTTACAATTTATTGGTATGAAATTATAAAAAAGACATGTTAAACTAGAAGAAAATGGCATCAGTTGAAAATCTTTTTCTTTGACCAGTAAGTCAATTTTCATACCATACCTCCAGTCACAGGTTGTGAGATGTAACTCATTTTGTCAACACGCCTGGCATATTACAAAGAAATTACAGTGTCCCTTTGCCATACATGGTGAATAAAAAAAGATGGGAGTTGCCCATACAAATGACAGCAACTATTTAAAGACGCCTCAGCACTCGTTTCGCAGAACAATAATATACTACATAACTCTCCACATAATGACATATATACACTGGTAAGAACAGGGGGGAAAATGCAGTTTCAGGAACACTCAAATAGACAAAAAGGCTTTTCTCTCACTGGAAAACTAGAAGGCCAAAAAGAGGCATTGGTACACCATGAGCAACTTAGAGAACTTGAACAGAAGGACAACGGAGAAAGACTGAAGACTGGGACATCAAAGGTTTTCTTTGAGAACATCTGAGCAGAGAAAATGAGTGGCAAACTGACATCGCGGGTGTCTTTGTTGATTCAGATCTGCCACTCCATGACAATACAATATTTGCTTCTTTCCTGTTTAATGTTAATTCCATTTGTAGATCTTAGCCATTCTCAAAGGGTGAGCACTGCTTGAGTGTCTTTCCTCTGCACCCAACAAAGGAAAAATTTATATATGAAAAAGACTTTCAATTCTGAAATGATCAAATGTGTCAAGACGTGGAGGAATCAGGCGCTCGTCAATTTTTGGGCATATAGGGTTATGGGTATCATCTTAAAGCCTATTCATTTGCCTTCAATTTAGTAAAAAAAAATCCACCTATGTAGAATAGAAGTCAAAATATTTGCGATAGAAGAAGGTCAGGGACGCCTGGTTTCATAGAGGTAAAATTAGAGAGAAAATGGCTGCCAAAGTTTGGCAACTCCCATAGCATGAGAGTCCTTGGAAACTGAAAATTTACTTTTTTTAAAATTCCTTTAATCAATATTTTTCAGTAAAATCCACACAAAAATTTGTTTTTAAAAGGACGTAAAAAGTGTTGAGCCAAAAAAAAAAGAAAATGAAAAAAATAATTGCCCATCGGCCCAAAAAAAAAGCTGATTTCTTTGATTTCATTTGACAAGCGCCTGATTTCACCAGGATGCCTCACAAATATATAACGTAATAAAAGTTGGTCAAAGTCCACCACTTTATCAATGTCAGAGAAAGACCAGGGAGTTGGGAACAGCCTGAGAGTCCCTTGACTTACCCACACTGAGGTCCTCCGTCGTGGGAGACGCCCAACACCACCAGACGCCGGCCCAGGATACGCATGAAAGACTCATTCATTCTCTCAAACAAGAGCTGGGGAAGTCAGGATATTATCATCATAAATCAATATAATGAGGCAAATACAGTCAAAACTGTCCAAGATGACCACCCATTGTCGAGGAGAAAAGTGGTTGTATAAGATGGATGGACTTTTTGAACGGTGTCATTGTAATACTTTTTTTACTGCAAGGGGGAGCAATTGGCAGGGGTTGCAAGTGATTGTCTTGGACAGGTAGTCGTAAAACCAGGTTTAACTGTATCTCACTTACTTGTGGTCTACTTGCTTCCCACATGTACCCAGAGTGTGACTTCCTACACCAGCAGAAAGACATACTTCTCATTTCAATAAAAATTTAACTTCCCCAGCATCAGTCAAAAATATTTCCAATATCTTTGGCAAGCATTACCTCCTATCAATCAAAACAACTGGTGAAGACACAAAGATACAAACTCAACTTGAAAAATCAATATATCCCACCTTCAGTTTAGTTTTTAGTTTTAGTAGAGGTTTTACGGCGTTCGCAACTGCATCAAGTCATATGAGCGCCAGAAGATTAGAGGTGTTACAAGAGAGTAACAAACATAAAAAAGAAGAAGGAGAGAAAAGGATGATAGTTGTTTGATAGGAAAGAAGAAGCAAACCACACCAGAGCACCCGCCAACCACCCAAACACTTTCAGTTTGAGAGTTTTCGGCTGTGCTTACAGCTCACAACAAGTTTCCAATAGGTAAAAGTAGCAGAGCAGTGAGTACTCACTGGCAATTTTAAAAAAATCCTGAACTGAATGGACACGTGGAAATGGGCGTACAAAGATTCAAAATTTACAGATCATATTTGTGCAATACAGCTTGAATCAAGGCAGTCTTTATATAAATATTTGTGCAAATCAGGCGGTAAAAAATTAGCCGAAAGATCGTTCGCCCACCTTGCTCCGTCAGTTTGGAACTCTCTTCCCCAACCCTTGAGACATACAACATCTGAGTCTAAATTTAAAAAATCTTTAAAGACACATTTAATTACATCCTTTTTAAGTCAGTAGATTCATGTTCAGTACAATGTTATGTAAATGTCTATGTATCCATTTATGTATTTTGTGAATTGCAGTGTATATATTATTTTATTCTCATTTCGTGACGATGTGTAATCGTGTGCGTGTGATAAGCAAGTAGATGTGTGTGTGTGTGTGTGTGTGTGTGTGTGTGTGTGTGTGTGTGTGTGTGTGTGTGTGTGTGTTTGTGTGTGTTTTGGCATACATGTGTGCGTGTTATGTGTTCGTGAGTGTGTATGTGTGTGTTTGTGTGTGTGTATATGTATATGTGTGTGTGTTTGTGTGTATATGAGTGTGTGTGTGTGAGTGTGTGTGTGTGTGTCGCGTGCATGAATATTTTTCTTACATGCATTTATGTAAAGCGCCTAGAGCTGTGTTTACATGGGAGTGGGCGCTATAGAAATGATCTTCATTATTATTATTATTATTATTAAAATCCAGGCAATTTCAGAAATCTGGATTTCCGGATTTCATTCGACAAATCAGCACTTCCCTTCAAAGAAAAGATATTTACAGAACCAACCAGCTGTTTCTTTAGTCAAATCTGACAGGATATACCCCGATCAGGTAAAATTAACCAATTGTCTCTTGGGTTGAACACCAACAGGATATACCCAGATCAGGTAAAACTGACCAATTTCCTCTTAAGTCAAACACCTACAGGACATACCCTGATCTGAGGCAGGGGCAAGATGCCCACCAGCGCCTCATGAAGCTTGGCCATCTGCTTGCAGATAGAGCGGAAACACTGGGATGGCATCGGGGCTTTCACTTCATACTGGGGAAAGACCAGATTGCAACAGTAAAAGTGGATGTTTTACACCCCCTATCAACCCACTTTACATCTTTTGGGAGGCAGGCTCTAACCATGTCTGCCTGTCCTGGTCAATGCGAGCTGAAGGGAATTCAAATTCCCACAGGAAAGACAGAAATACTCGATGAAGATTCTCCTCACATAGGAATTCAACTCCTGTCTTCTGCATGCGACAGGGAATCGCCTTACCATTACTGCCGGTTAAGGTGCAATAATGTAATTTAAAGACATTTAGTTTTACTTTTTGTAGAGGTTTTACGGCACTCGCAACTGCATTTGGTCATATGAGCACCAGAAGATTAGAAGTGTTACAAGAGAGTAACAGACATAAAAAAGAAGAAGGGGAGATACGGACGATAGATGTTTGATAGGAAGAAGAAGCAAACCACACCAGAGCACCCGCCAACCACCCACAATATAAGACATAATCCCATAAAACAAAATAAGATACGACAAGACAAGACAAGACTAAATTCTCGTCTTACGTTGACATTGAGTTAGGTGAAGCACATCAACACATTCATGTTTATTTAGAGCAGGGGAAAAGAAAGACAGACAGATAGACAGACAGACAGAAACAGAGGGAAAAGAAAAGAAACAAAACTACTCGTGGCACCATCCAACTACCTGCACTGTCCAATCACAGAGAGTTTTTAAAAAATTGACAAATGTATAGCTTTAATCCCCATTTCAACACTATACTAACATGTACCTCTCCGACAGAACTTATCCAAGTTAGCTGCATTTTTATTTACCTATTCCTCCTATGACGTTTTGAAACATTTACTAATTTCCTGAGAAGCATTCAGTGCAAGCTGCCATTTTACAAGCCCTTAAACAATAACACTGACGAGATCTTTCACCATCTCAGCTGCACACCAATTCCCCCCAGCGTGAAATTAGGAAAAAATAAGTGTAGTGTCTTTCCCAAAGACAGAGATGAGTCCAGACCAGAATTCAAACCCATGTCCATACAATTGTGAGCCCAGCATCATAACCATAGAGACAATCAATGACGCAAGTATCAGATAATAATATTTCATAGAACAGAACAGAAAGAGAAAAAGACTAGGGTGATATCACTTTTATGAGAGCATCCAAGAAAAGAAATGAGTCGTCATCCTTGAATGCCAAAGTGTCTCAAGTCTGGCACTTGGAAAAGAAGAAATTTCTTTGGAAAATCTCCAATACTCACTTTGGAAAGCTGAGCCTCAGCCATGTTCTCTGAGATACTGACCAATTTGTGGTTGATTTCCTCTATATGGTCATCATAGTCCTGTGAAACAATAGACAGTGGTTAGTTTTAATAAGAGTATAACGACACTTGCAAACACAAGGTTCCCTTTTATGAGGCAAGTATGCAAGACAAAACTTTTGCAGGAATAATAACTTCACGTTTGGGCCTCTTAATAGAGAGAAAACTGAAAGACAGCATATATGTATATGTTCTCGAGTCAAGAGTTGAATAGACTGGGGGAGCGCAGGTTGCAGTAATGCTGAAACTCTTGTAGTCTTGAAAATAGCTGGCACATAACTCTAATCATCCATGCAATTAGGCCCGCATTTTCATATAGTAACAACGTTTGACTTCCATCTCATATACACTCAAGGTGCACCCCCCCCCCCGCGCGAAAAAAGATCATGCCAAGGTTTTGTTCATTTATTTATTTTTTCTTTTTCCTTTCCCTTCAATTAGTACCTGTATCACGGCACGCACTTTAAGCCCAAGTGAAAAAAAATAACTCCCCCCGGTCATCCATACTGGTTAGGTCCCGAAAAACACCTCGACCAATGCGACGGGTGTGAATGAATTTTGTTGATCTCGACAACCAATGGTTCCCGACACACGCACTACTCACATGTACGAAGTCAGGTCACGTGATGCGAATGAGCGTTTGAAAGTTTAACTGACAGGTCTTGATGATGGACCCAACTAACCAGCACTCCGACCAAGTTTGCTTTTAAAGCAACGGCAGAACAACCAACAGATTATTCTTAGGCCCATGTCATAATTGTTACAGTAATCAGGACACCATAGGAGAATTCTGGGTTATAAAAGCAAAAGTAGATCTTGAGAGTAACAAAGTCTGAATTCAAAATTTAAATTACACCGATTTTAGTTGAAATAACGTGTGCGAGTCAACTACTAGATTCGGCATAGATGCTTTAGAAAATAGCGTCCAAGTTCCTGCCGATAAAAAGTCCAATCAGTGCTTCCAAGCAAAAGAGATTGCGAACTTTTTTTTTTCCTAAGAATCGGACGCAACAGACTCAATGACAAAAAGTCAGGATACTGGCGATTGATATCGTGAAAAATCGGGATGCTTGAGATTTGGAGCAAAAAAATCGGGATATCCTGATTAAATCGGGATGAGTGGCAGGTCTGCTGACTTCACCATGATGCCTCACATATATGTTCGATAAGCAAGGAGGAACAAACCACACCTGAGCACCTACCAACCACCTACGGCAGGCAGTGAAACAAAAGTTATGCCAAGAAGGTAAAAACCTATGAAACAGGAGTAAGACATAATTGAGGCAACATTGGAGGAGAGAACAGAGAGATGTATATCATCACTATCAGAGGGGTAGGGTAGCATCTATTGCTGAGTGTCTGGTATGCACATTAAGACATACAGAAAAAACAGAGAGATTGTTAACCCTTAGAGCGCTGACTTCTTTCCCCTTATATTTTCCCTCTGTGCTGAATTTATTTTGGAAAAACGCCATGTTTGCACATACACTTTTTTTTGGCTAATAACTTTTTTATTTGTCAAAATTTCTAATAAAGGTAAGAATAAAAGTTTTATAATATTGAAAGTTCTTTAAGAATATGTGAAGCAAAAAGTATTTTGTGAAGTTATTATTGTAGTAGTGGTGTTGGAGATGACTGAATAAAAACTGCCGGTTCATTAGATCTCTAGATCTAGACCAGAGTCTAGATGCATCGTAGGCCTACGTTATATTCCACAGTGTTAGCTCTAGCATCAAAACCCTCGAAATCATCTTCCGATTCAAGGAAAATACACGGAACATCTTCATCTGAATCTGATGCGACAGTATTTTCATGTTTGTCACGGGTCGCAATCGCGAATTTTCAGACTTCACTGTCACTCGACTTCAAAGTGAAACAAAAAACTCCTCGCGCCTCGATCGAAACCCGCGACAAGAAAAATAGCGACCGAAATCAATTCTGCGTAGTCTACCAGCCAGCAGTATAAAAATTAGTACTTCGTTCTTTTCGTATATCGCGTTATACTATGCCAATGTCTATCGCGACCGGCGGTCGCGATCAGCACTTAACGGAAGTTCGGGCCGTCACGACCACCAGCACTCTAAGGGTTAAGATATAAAACTGTCACACACCTGACTTGCAGCCCTGATCCACAATTTTTTAAAGTTCTTACTTTAGCCATATAATCATATGTCAATAAATGTACAAATCCCATGAAACTACAAGGTACGCCTACATTAGTTGAATTTGACATTAAACAGTCTCTTCTGGCACACAAGCAGAATTTGACAAAAACACACTTCTGGCACACAATTCGAATACAAATGAAAAATTTTGGGAGCACTGGTATAAACTGTGGCGAGAAAAAAAAGACTCCCTTGTTTGAGCGAACTCGGACAGACTTGCAGAAACACAAAACATAAAGTCTCAGCTATCTTTCTGATGCTCTCAAAGTATTTGACAAAACCTCTCTTTCAGTATACAGGTTGAATTTGACAAGTAAAAGTCTCTCTTCTAAGAGTCAATTCCAACAGACAGGCACAAAGTCCAAGATACCTTTGTGATCTTCTCAAAGTTTTTCAACATGTTGGAGCTCTTCCCTGGCAGCGTCTGCTGGAAATGATCCTTGACTTTGGGAATGAAATGAACGACCAGTTGTAGACACCGAGACGCTAGAGCTGGAATCACACAACAATTGGGAGAGAAATGAGCGTTTGTCAAAGAAATACAGATAATCCCAGGACCAAAGCAAACATAAAATTTGCACTTCATGAAAATAATGTCCTTTTCCTATCATTATTACAATGTATTGGTCTTTAAAAATAATCGTACAAGGTTTTGAAATAACAACTAAATAAATCAACTTCTTCACAAAATGACCAACAGTATCACACATGTAATTTTTTTCTTTTAATATCAAGTGTTCACTAGTAACTTTGGTCTTTGTATCAAATTTCTTTTTATGAAGGTAAACTGAAAATCTATTTCTTTTTACACAAAAACTCCACAGGTATGTAGTGCACTTTTCATTCTGTTCATATACAAGTACAAGATCTTATTGTTTGAAATCTAGGGCAATATGGTGACAGAACTGCCGTCGTAAGGGAAAACGACGAATGGTCGAAATTGTTCGATTTTTTTTATTTTTATATATTTTATAGAGTATTTAATTCTGCATCTGATGGTGTAAAAAATTTTGTCATATCATAATCCATTGTTGCGTAATTGAGAGTTGGTCGTTTTCCCTCACACTGGCGAGCTCCGAGCCAGAGCTCAGTGTAAGGGAGAACGACGAATGGTCGATCGGTCAAGGATCACTGCTCGTTCGGCGTTGTCCCCTGGTCTCTGCCGTTGGGCAAATTTGGCTTGGGCGACGAATGACAGTTGGTCACTGTTGCATCAGTACAAACATACAAGGCTTTTTTAGCAAACAAATACACCACCACCCCCTCCCCCGGAGTACCATCGACCAGGTTTATAAGAATGTATCACTTAGTGTGTCATTCTGTCTGTTTTCACGTTTTAGGCCTATGCTGATGGTGTGAATTGACAAGAGCAGGCGGGAGAGAGGGGAAAACGGATGGGAATAGGGGGAAAGGGGTGGGGATGGGAGGGTCAAAAAGTATTTAGGGAGAAATTTATTAGCACTGCATATTAGTGTCCGCCAGATGTTCACAGACTAACGTCATGTTAGTTTGTTGTCCAGTCATTTGACATCCCAAATCCCAACGATGGTTATAGTGCCGCAATTTGTCTAGCACGTGTCACTGGTCGACATCCTTATAGAATTACCAAGCATTTAATGACACTGCGTTATGAGAGTAAATTTCTTTGTCCAACTAAAAAAGAAGACGTATAGTGGCGACACTTAGTCTTGCTTTACGATTTTTTATGACTTGATGGAACGTTACGATCAAGTATAATAATGTCTTGCAGATTCAAACTGTCCTTGTCGATCTCTACTTTGTGGTATGTTTTCCGATCCGATCAACTGAATCCTTTATTAAATACAAAGCGTCACATTACCTCTCCCAAAAGCGTTTGTGATAGTCTTGTCAGATTGTTACATTTCTTTCGAGAAAGTTTGACTTTGCAATGATCTGATCGTATTATTGACATTGTAACTTTATTGATCCCTTTGGTCGTGCAGGGAACATTTTGCAATTAGCGAAAATAAAAGTAAAACTCGCTTCTGAAGAGAATAAAATAAATAGATATCATGGAGACCAAACTTTTGTTCTGAATGAGACAGTTTTAAATCAAGCTGTTGAAAATGTGAGCACATCTGATTTGTACACCGACTAGTATTTAACCTAGCGAGGAAGGCAAACGAAGGATGTTTACCGAGTTACAGTTGAGATATAATAAACACGTAACTTTATTCGTATAATAGCTACTTTGTATACGTCTTATTTTTATTTGTAGTAACCAGTACACAGTAATTACTGTCAATAATGCATCACAACTGACCATTGCCTACGCCCATAAACGTTCACGAGTGTAAGGGAGAACGACGAACCGTACCATCCGTCGTTTTCACTTACATCCCAAGGCTCACCTGCGGGTGCAGAGTGTAAGGGAGAACGACGAATGTCGAATAACTTTGCTACTTTTTAACCTAAACCATTCAAACTTTAGAAACAGCATTATGAACACCCCAATCAGATATCTGGTGAATTACAGCTTAAAAGAGTGAAAAATAGAAGAGTTATAAAATGAAAACAGTTTTTGCCTCTCCTGAAAAATTTGCCTCGCTACCAGCGTTGTTTTCCCTTACGACGGCAGAGAACATGTGACTTCTAAAACCTACCAAGATTTCGGGTTGATATGGTCTTCAGGCCCACTAACTGCCTTGCTCCAGCCCCAATCAGCAACTGACAAGTCCTCGAATTGAACATCTTGGTAGAACAAAAAGTAAAAATAAACCTTTTTATCAGTATTTTATAAATGAGTAGACCAAGAAATGGAAATTTGACTTACATTTTATGAAAGAACAGAACAAGAATTACAAAAATAAACCTCTCTCATTCACATCTTATGACTTCTCTAATTCACATTTTATGATTGAGATTAATGCCCTGCTACACATCAAATTGGGTCTTTTCTTAGCCTGGCCACATGTGAGGGTTTTTCAATTCTTTTTCAAATTAAAACTTTTGGCAGACATCTCAGTATGAAAGAAAACTGGTCAGAAGGCAAAGTGAATATGCACAAAAAATGTCATTTGAAAGGCACATAAAAACAAATGTACAGAAATGCATTCAATAATTGCACAAAATAGTGCACTAAAAGAAACACAGAAATATGTACAGAAATGTGTAGCACACGGTACAGCTGTAAGCTGTAAGGCATCAGAAATGTTTTTGGTAGTTTGGTAAGAGTGTTACAGTCCTCGCAATTACATAAAGTTACATGAGTGCTCTTAGTTTTAGTTTTAGTAGAGGTTTTACGGCGCTCGCAACTGCATAGGGTCATATGAGCGCCAAGGGGTGGATGTCACCAGAGAAGTCCTTACAGGGAATCAGACTTACTCTGCTCACCTCTCTAGCTTCAACTGCACAAAGTCTGCTTCAACTATCAAGGCACCCTGGAAATAGCGGGTCACAAGAGTGTGACTAACATACAAAAGAAGTAGAGGAAAATGACGATAGTAAGGATTAGGAAAGAAAAAGCAGCAGTTCCCTGTTGTAGTTCAGGCACAGTTATGAGCACGACTGTTGGATCAGCCCATTTACAATTCTACTGAGCTTTAGAACGAGAAATGTCCCCCCTTTGGGAATGGCCTAAAGACACTTCAGTCAGTGGCACCGCCCCCGGGGGTTGAGTGCTCTTAGAAATGTTAACAAGATCCTCACCTTGAGCAGGTCAATAAGCCGAGTGAGAAGGTCAGGAGTCGCAGAGGGAATGTCTACAACACACTGGCAGTACTCCACCATCATCTTGATCAGCATCAGCACCGTCCTAGACAGGAGACAAAGACACGTAGAGTACATACAAAGTTTGATCACAAAAAGTGCAACAACGAGTGGGAACTTGGGTGTAAAATATTTGAGGATATACCTGAATGTGATCAGGAAAACATGTCATGTCATGATCTGCCTGAATGAGATTAGAATACAGGTGAGCTGAAGGAGCAAGGTCAGAAATTATAGTTAATGATGTGTATGAATATATGAGTGACCAAGGATTTTAAAATGTACGTGTATTATGGCAAGAGAGCATCGTCAGAAAAATGTAAGGATGTGTGTGTGTGTGTGTGTGCGCGCGCGCGCATGTGTACACGTGTGTACACGTGTGCGCATATGTGTGTGTGTGTGTGTGTGTGTGTGTGTGTGTGTGTGTGCGCGCGCGCACGTGTGTGTGCATATGTGTGTGTGTGTGTGTGTGTGTGTGTGTGTGTGTGTGTGTGTGTGTGTGTGTGTGTGTGTGCGCGCGCTTGTGTGCATGTGTGTGTGTGTGTGTGTGTTTGTGCGCACATGTGTGTGCATGTGTGTGTGTGTGTGCGCACATGTGTGTGCATATGTGTGTGTGTGTGCGCGTGTGCGCATGTGTGTGTGTGTGTGTGTGTGTGTGTGTGTGTGTGTGTGTGTGTGTGTGTGTGTGTGTGTGTGTGAGTGTGTGTGAGCATGACTAAACTCATGAAACTTGCTTAAATTACAAACTTGATGATACCACAGGCAAGTAAAGCATTGATCTTCTTTAAAGAAACTCTCATTGAATACCAAACTGACCATCACATCACTTCGGAGCTGCAAGAGCAATCACTCACCCCACAACGGAAAACTGTTCTTCCCCAACACAAAGACACTCCGTGGGTTTGCTTTCTCCTGGACATAGGGGCATTAAAGTATCATTTTAGTTACACATATTATAGGACAATACCACATAAGGCAAGATAGTTCATATCGCAAACAATCTGAATCCATGTTAACTCTAAATATTAAAAAACCCACCTGATATTGAGGCTCAATCTATTAAAATAAAGACAGAGACAACAGAAGAATGAAATATTAGCTCAACAAATGGAAATAACCTAAATGGTATTAACAATTAGTATCTATAGTATATGGGTCTCAACTCAGAATTTTTAAAAATGAGGAACTTTCCACGTGATCGCGACAGAAGACCATTTTCACAAGACACCCATTCCTATTATACTGTTTAACCCTAGAATGCTGAAATAAAAACCATCAATTTATCAAAGCAAGGTTATTTCATACCAGTTTGAGGGTTTGGAAGATAATTTCAAGTAAAAGAGTCACTAAATATTTACAATCTTGATTATGTACAGAAAGTGGTAGAGCATTACTGGGTGGCGTGGATTAGCGGAGGTAATGGCGGTAGCGGAAATCCGCTTAATACCGGAATATTGAGACCCATGATCTGTAGTATTAAAATATGTTTCTATGGACTCTGTACTCTTTTTGCAAGGACAAGTTTTGCATGGTGTTTCTGTAGATTCACTCTCAGCACCATCAGCTTCTTTTTGATGAGTTTAAACAATTTCACAATAGAATACCAACAACACCTTGTAACTTAAAATGTACCTAACAATTTTCCTCATCAGTCCTCAACTTCATGCCAAACCTCTCAAACTTCACATTGTGGAGCAGAGGCTTATTAACACATTGAGGACATGCATTCTTGTCAAGCCACAGTGCTTGAAGGCGTGTTATTAAGAGGCACTTTAAAAAGAGCTCAGCTTCATCATTCGTAGAGATTTTTCAATTGTTTTCTTTATCTGAAACTTTAAAAAAAACAAAATACACAAATCTGTTTCTGACTTGTGTATGATGGTTAGATGCTGTGTTGCTGATTGGACATATGAGTCTGTTATATCCTTACAGAGTTAAAATCTTTGTCTATGCACTGTCCTGCAAATTTCCCTCAGCTTAAAAATTAAAAAGCAACTAGGTTCCATACTTAACCCATGCTCTTTTATCTAAAACATCCCCTAAAATAATTTCAGTGATAAACAAAAATGGAAAACATGATGTGCATACCTGATTCTGATCTCTTCTCCGGCAGAGTTAAAGTTCCTGAAGACAAAAAAATAAGACGATCATTGTGAGTTACCTGAAGTTAAAAGAGGTCGAAAAAAGTTAAGTGAAGTAATGTAAACTACCACAGCTAGGTGCTACTTATCTAAACATTTCTTTTTGTTATGATTTAGTGCTTACATTTCTGACGCTTTCATCGGTCTCTAAACAGACAAAATTCCACTTTCTTGTTTTATGTCTATAAAATTCTTAACATCATACCATATTTTTTCCTCCAAACCTATGACTTAATGGACAGATTTCTCTCTATATTTCTATAAAGAAGGCTATTTGTTAAATTCACAGTTACCTGAAATCACAATATGATTCACTAGTTCCTGGAACTCCGTTGGCACATCCGCCTGCTTCCAGCGTTCATTATCCAAAATCAAACTGCAAGAAATACAATAGGTTAAAAAAAACACATATCATTCTCATTCAAAAATACACAGATGATATAATCAAACAAGCATAATATAAAAGGAAAAATAAACCAAATATTATTTCGTACGTTGAGAATTTTTTTAAAAATCATATTGTACGATAAGGTAATCATTTAAAAAGAAAGGGGAGAAGTGAATACATCAGTTTCTGTTTTTCAACAAACATTCCCTAATCAATTAATGTCACCATACCCCTATCAAAGGAATCTTACACACTGAGAAGTGCAAACATTTCTTGTCATCTTAAACCAAACTTTTCTGAATTTGAGAAGCATTAAGTTCTTCAGTCATACAGACAGCTAAATACTTTACCTGAGTTTTGTTTTTCTTTCTTCATGGAATCGAGCAACAAATTTGTTAGCCTGTAACAGAAAAAAGAATATGCAAACAGTCATCAGTACAATGTGATATTCTGCAATGCAACAATATCAGCCTCAGCAGAGGTGTCATTAAACAAAAGCAACAGTAAAAACTAAACAAACTCAATCAAATCTGGCATGAGGGGACTTTTCATCTTCACATCTGTATGTTATCCAGTGCAGGTAGTCTTAATCCATAAAATCAGCATTTTTGTAAGAAAAATAACATTTCTCTGTGCTGAAAATTCTTTGAATTTTTGTCAAAGTGATTATTCTGTGAATGTTCATTATTGGACAAAATTGATATAGGCCTACCATTTTCATCTCAAAATCTAAATTTTAGTATTTTTTTTCCTGAAGCAAACTATGCATGCATTATTTTAACCCCAACTTTTAATAAATAAACATGTGACCTTTATCTATGTTTTTTAAAAAGCCATTTAAATTTAGTAATGAGTCAAAAACATTTTGACATTCTTTAATATTGCACAACAACAAAAATAGAAAAAATTTGTTGTTTCTATTTCTCAAAAAGCTGGACAAATATATACAAGCAACGAAAACCACAATTTTCAGACTTTAAAACATAAAACCAAGATTTCGTAAAGGGATAGTTTCACGATAGTCCCTTTGAGAAGGGCTACCCACCTGAGTTTGTAGAATGCCCCTCAAGGACATACTCTTACGGCCGCATACTTGCTCCGTGTCCGAGACAAACGCCTCGATATCCCGTGACAGTGCCACAAACTCCGCAGAGGACAGACGTTCCAGGAAACCATCCTGCCATGGGGAAAGATGAGTTATCACTAATACATCAACTCACGTAACTAAATGATGCAAATTTGACATTGTACAACACTTACAGCCTCCTAGGGCAGAGGTGCTATACATATATATTCCCATTATTCCCATTATAATATTCTATGAGTGTGAGTTGCAATGAGATCAAGGACAGTCATTTCCACTTCACAAAGACCTGAGCTGTGACACAGAAACCACCATGTGCAAGTAACTTAACATGGCTCCCCTTTCACCTAGAAGATTTGATTCCAAACAAACGGAGTAGGGATGATTACACACATCTCGCAAAATCACAACAAAAAATACAACATTAAACATCAGACAAATACGTCTAGAAATATGACAAACTTTCTGGATTTTTCTCGCCTCAAACTAACCTTTGCACGTGCTGTCATCACCTTGACACATCTATCGTGAGCATAATCACAGACTGAGTTGAGCATCTCCTTGAGGCTGGCCTGGACCTTGTCGTGTTCTGCACTTGTAACCATTACATCCACATCCTCACTCCTGTCAACATGGTGGAGTGTTTGTCACTTTATTTTTTTTTGGTCACATATTTTAACCAAATGCTATTTATTATTATACTTTTCTGTCAAGTGCTCATCAATCTACTTGTAAGTAAGATATCAGTAAGTCATGTGTTTGTTACACTGGTATTTGTTAATTAAATAATTTTGTCAGTCACCCATTAGTCAAAGGTTTGTCTGCAAAGAATTTGTCGGTTTAATATTTGCCAGTTTACATATTAGGCAAGATTTTGTAGGCCAAATATATATTAAGTTAAAATTAACCAAAGTCACTGAGTATGCCAAAACTGATTCACAGTAACTCTTTTCAGTTATTTGTTGTTAAGACTTTTCAAAGGAGAACAGTTTGTTTAAACCTTATTTCTGTAAACCAATTTATATTCTAGGAAAAATTGCAGCAACTGGGAAAGATATTTTATAGAGTATCCCTGTCTTTCCACTCAGGGTTGGGCTTGGCATGTATGGTCAAAAATAGCCCATCTCTTAAATGATCTATACATGTTGAACTAGGCGTAAAAGATTTACTGACAATAAAAATCACTTTGACAAGATGGATTCAAAATCATGTCGACACGGGCATAGAGGATTTACTATCAACAAATATTATGTTCAGTAGAAAGGCCCAAAATCTTTCCATCCCACACTCATCCCGCTACTCACACAGAGACTTGCAAATGTTCCGGTTCGTTCAGCTCAGGGGCGTCCTCGGAGGTGGGCGTGGTCACAGAGGGAGCCTTTGTCCTCCCCGCAGCTATACCAACAATGTCAGAAACCACGCCATAAAATGCCTGTCAATAAAAGAAACACAGGCTATGAGATGCTATTTCACACATCAAGCAGGAAATGACCATGAAGAGGTCTTTTTATCATAAACATTCAGACTCCAAAGATATTCATTAAAATCTAAACAAATTCAAATTGAAAATAATGGAATGCCAATGCTATGTGATGCATGAATACAAAGAAAAAAAGATACAACAGCTTTTTTCACTAACATTTTTAAATTCTTCTTCAAAAGACCTTTCCAATTATATAAAATATGTAACCCTTTGATAAAGTTCAAAATCCTGAAAAAATTTGGGAAAGTGGAAAACCTGTCACAGTTGGTCCTCACCATGAAATCTGCCATATTTTATACTTTTTTAGTTTAGTTTTAGTAGTTTTTACGGCGCTCCCAACTGCATAAAGTCATATGAGCGCCAAGGAGTGGATGTCAACAGAGAAGTCCATACAGGGAATCAGGCTTACTGTGCTCACTTCTCTAGCTTCAACAGCGCAGTCTGCTTCAACTATCAAGGCACCCCGGAAATGGCAGGGCGCAAGAGAGTAACAAACATACAAAAGAAGTAAAGGAAGAATGACGATAGAAAGGATTAGGAAAGAAAAAGCAGCAGTTCCTCGAATGTAGTTCAGGCACAGTATGAGCATGACATTGATGAATCAGTCCATTCACACTTCTACTGTGCATAAGAACATGTTAATATACCCCCTTTGAGAATGGCCTAAAGACACTTCAGTCAGTAGCACTGCCCTGGTGTGGGGGATATTTTATGCGAATCTGAATGGGGTTCTTCAAGGGATCAAAAAAATATATCGGAAAGCTCCGATTTTATAGGAGCACTCAGTAGGTCAGCAAAGTGAACTTGCATGCTGCTAATAGTCCCTTCATCCCCGACAAACAGGCCAACCACAACTCAAAAACCCTGGAGCTTAACATTTTAAAAGAAAAAAGAAAAAAACCCCATCAAAACACATACAACATTCACTTCTTCAAATAACCACTAACTTATAACACAGGACAGACACATTTCCTCACTCATTTAAAGACATATTTTCTCACTCATAGACACAGGACACACACATTTCCTTACTCACTCATAGACACAGGACACACACATTTCCTTACTCATAGACACAGGACACACACATTTCCTCACTCACTCATAGACACAGGACACACACATTCCTTACTTATAGACACAGGATACACATATTTCCTCACTTATTTACACAGGACACACACATTCCTTACTTATAGACACAGGACACACACATTTCCTCACTTGCTTATAGACACATGACACACACATTTCCTTGTTCATAGACACACGACAGACCAAACTGTTGAACACATCCTCCAGCACTGCAAGACACACAGGGCCCTGAGACAGGAAACGTGGCCAACCCCTCTGACGCTGCAAGAGAAGCTATACAGGCCGACAGATGAACTGAGCAGGACAGCCCAATTAATGACAGATACCAGACTTCAAGTGTGATGCGATCGAGAAGAAGAAGAAGAAGACACACGACACACACATTTTCTCACTCACTTATAGACACATGACACATAGATTTCGTCAGTCACTTATAGACATGGGACACACAAGTTTCCTCACTCATTTATAGACAAGCTATCTGTTTACCTTCACTCGGTTCAAAAGCACCATCAGGCTGGAGAACACATTGCCCAGTAAGTTCATCCACTGTGAGTAATTGAGTAATCTCATTTGGTCGGCCAAACTAAATGAGAAAATGATGGGGGAGAAAAAAAAAAAACAATGAAAGCCAGGCATGTAATTCAGTCTTAATGGCAAGTGATCATTTAAACTAATTTGTCTACATAACCAACAGCATTTACTTAGGGGGCACTCAGTTCCCTTCCAAAGAGAAAGTTGAGAATGTTTGAGCTCTATGAATTATACATAATAAACACAATACTACTATATACTGCCTCATAACAACATCAAGCTAAAGCAGACAGAAATGAAATTATTCAATTTTAAAATCACAAACAGGCTCTCTGACAGATTATTATCATTCTGCATAAAATTTGATTTAACCATGCGAAAAACTCAACCACAGGAGGAGGCAGCATTTGTAAATGATGACCTTATGATAATGATGAAAACGAGTTGCCACAGTGGGGCAGAAGCGCAGAATTGTATCATAATGTCCTAAATTGTGCACTCTTGACGTATTCTGGTTCACTACAAAGTGTACCATTTGACTCAATTTGAGCCAAATGAAGGGCAAGGAAGGAAAAGTGTGGCACGCAGGACTACAGTGAGACTCCTGCTTTGACGCGCATGTGGGCATAATGACGCGCATGCTGGGCAAAAGTTTTTATAGACAGTACAGAGCAGCAGCAAAAATTGTGCACGATCTAGGAGTACAAGCTTATAGAAACAACGAGCAAGTAACTGCAGCAAATCATACGAGACACAGACGAACCACCAGCAGTATACAGCTTACCTTCCCGCGTTCCCTTCGGTGTCAACATCATCAGCCACAGCCACAGCCTCCACTACAGTCTGATGAACAGAAACACAATATTATCCACCACAAATCATTCAAAAGGGTAAACAAAGAATAAGAGCCCATTATCCAATAAGAACAATTTTCAACTAAAAACAATGTCATCCTGGAGACAGACATACAATTTTCATATCTCATCTTTAAGCTTATCGTGGTCATATCTAGTTTAAAGGACAACTAAGTAATAACCTTGTGCAGTTGTTTGTTATTTAAAAACTAAAACTTTTGCTTAAGGTACACTACGGAAGTGGCTGACAGCCAAAAAAAGTCGATTTTGGATTTTTCGATTTTGGACTATTTTAGTAGAGCAATATCTGCTTTATCGATTGGAAATATTTTCAAGTGTCTAAAACATCTATAAAGTGCTCACATATGCCATGTTTGTGAACATTTTGTTGAAATAGACCAGTGTGAATTTGTTGGGTTTTTTTCAGTTTTCTCAAACTATAATTTTCTTAGGGGGGGTGGGTCACCTGTGAAGAGATATTTCTGAAAGTATATGTCACAGCTCAATCCCGCTTTGCATGACTGTTTCTAGATAATATGTTTGCAACGTACTAAAAGATTATTGTGATATTGTAATAAGTTTTCTGTCAGTGTAAAAACGATTGACAGTATCACTCTGATTTGTGATCAGTTTTTTGTCTGAGTATCGTACGACACTAAAAGGGCAGTTACAAGAAAAGTATGAGACTTATGAAAGTGCGTAGTAGGTTGTATTTACAGAAACACAGTGTTAAAATATCTAGGCTGTATCAATTCAATCTTTTTCAGAATCCGTGTACAGAATTTGCGCGAATTTTGGTCTGTCGAACCCTTTGCACCTGAAGAATTCAGAAAATTGCCAGTGAAATCATATAGGGATAGTGTGTTTCTGTTTCTTGACCCATATTGGTTATTGGGAAGCCCAGTATACTTAATTTAGAGCCCAAACAAAAATGTTCACTTCAGCTGTACCAAGTGTCCCTTAACATAAAAACATTGATAAAGAAGCAAATTTATATAAGTCCACCAGAATAATGATTGACTGAGTAGGTGTTTCACGGCATAATCAACTCGGATTTGGTCATGTAAGCGCCAAATAAAGAAGAGGAAACACACAATAAAAAATTACAACCAAAAATGTCTTCAAAACATCTCCACAGGCAACATCGTGTTCCCCAATAGGCATTTAACAATTTCACCATGGCCAACTTTGTCATTCTCAACAAATTTCCTCAAAAGGAAGACACAGAGAAAGCAGGAAAATTAAATAATCTATAATTTATGCAACAATAAAAATAAATTATAATACATCTATAGCATAAATCCATACCTGTTTGACAACGGCTTTCAAAGCTGTAAAAGCTTCCTCTCTGTACACATCAATAAAGTTGAATTTATGCTGCCTGAGCATACCAAATAATATGGAAACAAGACGCTCCTGAGAAAAAAAAATAAAAAATGTTAAATATGATTATCAGATTCATAGCGCTACATATCCAGAAACAGAAAGACCCCTTGAATAGAAGAACACATTTTTCTGTACAGACAAACAATAAAAACAAAAAGACAAGACGACCTGAACTTTACTTAGTATGAGAAAAAAGTAATAACTAAATCTGTGATGAGCCAGTTTTCACATTTGTAACTGGATTCATATTCACCAGAGAGTAAGTCAAAAATAAAACTTACTTATGTGTGAAGCTGCACAATGTATTCTCCCTCTAAAAAGAAAGTTTTTCTTTCACATCTTTTTGGTACCAGCAACATTTAAGAATGTACACTGAAGTCTCATTTGAAAACCCAATCACCTAGCACAGATTGATACAAGCTCAGAAAAATGTTACATTCTTTTCAATAAATTTCTCAGAGAGTACTTTTCATCAACATACACATTCGACACACTAAAATAAAACTTACATGTTCGACGCACTAGAATTTACACATTTGATTGACCCATCAAAGCCCTAGGAGAACAACTTACACATTTAACTGAACACTCAACACACTACCAGGAGAACAACCTACCTCCTCCGCCAGCATCATGGTATCACAGACGGGCCTGTTCAGCTCCATTGTGACACATTTACTGAGGTCTGCCTGAAGCATTTTGTCAATCAGTTTCTCCATCTCTGCCAGCTGTGAGCCTAAGTGTCTTCAAATACACAGAAAGACACATGAAATAAGAAATTGTCCCATTTGCCTAGAAGGTGACTGAAGAGGAAGCAACAAAACATTTAATGAGGCAGTCACATGATCCAGGTACCATGATCAAAACAAAAATTCAAAAAGTATAAACTGATGGGGAGGCTCAATCCCTCAACAGGTATTGTTGTGTTTATCCATCAATTTCAAGGCCCAGAGTTCAATCCCTGACAATATCAGGGGGTTTTTTCTTCTCATGTTTTCCCCACTCCAAGATTTTAAGGTTGGTAGGATCTACCACCTAGTCTTCTCCGTTAAGGATGACAAATTTCAAAGGTCCTGTGTGGACATTTCACACGTTAAAGATCCTATGTTGGTTGAAAAATCAAAAAGAGGAGGCCCTTCAGACCACCATCAATTCAAAATTAAAAATAAATTTATATCCAAAACTGAACCCACTTTAGTTCATGTAAATACTTAAGAGTATCTTCATGAGTGGCACATTGCTGCCTGTGGAGCAAATGATAATTCTACATTCTATGGACATAAAACTGCCATGTACATAAAAATCAGCTTCACTGTGAGATGAAGATCTTACAGACAGTTACCTAAAAACAAAAACAAAAAATAGTAAATTAACGCAATCTCGTTCAACGACAAAGAACGAACAAAAGAGGTCTATGCAGATAAAAACGGAATTACAAAAAGCAATATCACGTCATTAAATGAAATAGATTCATACAGAAAAGATACATATAAGTGAAAAGAAGCTCTTACAAATTAGGGTTAACTCAGAAAAATAAAGTCTCTATCCCCTCATCAAAAGTACCCTGAGTACTTTTCATCCTCAACAAATTCTCCATCATCCACAGAGACAAATTGGGTTATGAACTTGATTTGCCAAATAAAGGGTCAGATTCTGACAAAAACAATATAGTTTTTTTTTCGTCTTTCCCAGAATATTTCCAGTCAAGTCCAGTGCTCTGACAATGGGCCTAACGCTCTGCCTCCAAAATGACCTACATTGTGTATAATAGAGAGTAAATCTTCCACAATAAAAAGAACCACATTCTGCTAAAACAAAAGAGAACTACATACAAGTTTACCTAAAGCTGTGAATACCAGCCAGATCTTTGTTGAGAACATCCTGGGATGTGGAGATCAAATCCAGAGCTCCGATGAACTCGTTATTTGACAGCAGACGCTGGATGGTAGGTTGAGTTTCATGAATGGAAGCCATGATTTTCAGCTGCAGAGACAAACAGAAAGAACATTGACTTTTGTCCTTCCATGTATAACAAATTAGCAGACTGTCTTGCGCTCATCAGGAGAATTCCATCCTAAATTTAAAACAAAACAGAGCTTTGCTGCTCCTAGGACAAAACATACTAAATTATAGCAGTGGTGGTCTGCATAAATTTTAAAAAGCTTATTTTGCTTTAATTCAAAGCTCATGACCATATGTGTCTCGACGCGATGGAATCAGGCGCTCGTCAGTTTTTCGGCATGTAGAGTTATTAGTATCATTTGAAAGCTGATTTATTTGCCTTGCTTCCAATGAAATAAATATCCATCTGTTTCGAATAGAACTCAAGATATTTCCGATAGAAGGAAGTAAGGTTGCCTGGTTTCAGTGATGAAATTAGTGAGAAAATGGCCGCCAAAGTTTGGTAAATCCAATAGCTAAAGAGTCCTTGAAAACTGAAAAATTACATATTTTGTGCCTTTAATCAATGTGTTTTAGTATAATTCACAGGGAAATGTATTTTTATGCGGACGTAAAAGAAGTTGAGCCAAAATATAAAAATTCGATAAAAATTTCCAAAATGTCAGGAAAATGCCTGTTTCTAAAATTCCTGTATTTTGACGAGCGCCTGGATTTACCACGCTGCCTCACATATACAACTATCTTTTAAAAATACAGTCAATATTATCCAAGACGGCCACTCACTGCTAGGGAGAAAAGTGGCTGTCTTTGACAAGTGGACGTCTTGAACACTGTCATTTTAATACAGAAAAAAAACATGGGGGGGGAGTGGCAAGGGGCTGTTTGTACAGGTGATTGTCTTGGACAGGTGGCCATTAGTGTAGGTTTGACAGTATTCAATAGCAACAAGCACCTACAATTAAGGACGACTAACAAAAATTCAAAAGTCCTGTATTTCGAATAATAGAAATTGTAGAATTCTTGTTGTAAAGTTGTAGTATACAGCAATGAAGTAAGATAACACTAAAATCTCAAAAGTGATAGATTACCAGTAAAGTAGATTTATCGATAGCGAGAAAAAAAGTAACGACTTCTTAAAAATAAATTTTTCTGAAAGAAGAAAAGGAGAGTGAGGGCAATTTGGATACTTCGTGTGGCAAAATGTTGGATGGAAAACAATAACATGATAACAAGCACCATTAACCCTCGTCCTGCGGGGGCCGGGTTTATGTCGCTCGATAAGCCTATTTCGGCACCTCGCCTACGTTCTGGTCCCGAATCAGTGTAGCCCCTGGCTCAGCGCACGCGCACCGCGCATCATCTTACGTGAAATTCGGGTCCCGAGTCGGATCCCCATTCACGCAGGTCAAGTGTGTGTGCGTCAGTCCGCTTGAGTTTGTGTGTGTTTGTGGCCTTCTTCTAAAACCACTTGCGTTGATTCGTAATCGAGGCATTCGTCTTATTCAAAACATGCCAAGTTGCTATCTCTAGATGTTCATCCAATGAAATTATAGAAGAAATTGACCCACTTACACATGAGGAGCTCGAAAGGATGGTCAGGAAACAAGACTTCCATTTTTCTATACAAAATCTTTCAAATGAGCTTGATTTTGTATGAAATGATATTAACTGATAAAAAAATAAGCTCGTTTGATAGTTTTGAATACCATTGTGCAGGTACAAAGAACAATTTGAGTGCAAAACATTCGGAAATTGACCTATATTATCCCCTTTCAAACCTCAGGTCATTCATAACAACAAAAGTGTCCAGAAAGGTTATTCGAATGGGCGTAACTACTCGTAATGTCTTATCAGCTTGTGAGAGGGGGTTATTCATGTGTTCGTAACACTTTATAATAGAAAGCTATGAAAGATAGAGCATTATTTTCATCATTGATTAACACACTCCCACGGTATTCATGGCGAAAACACAAGTTTCCCGGCGCTCGCGCTGTACACCAACAGTACACACTGAGTGACCCCGGCGGCCAGCCCGGAAAGTTCGACGTAATCGGTTGCTGATAAGATTTGCATCTCAGCACAGACGCAGGACATGAGTTAATAACTTCAAACAATAGAATGTCATTGCTGATCATCTTAGAGAGGCACCTTGTCTTCAAGCTAGAGCAAATGTGTAAAGCTCATGGATCCTCATAAGTGATACCTCCTCTGCCAACCTAAAAATATTAAAATTACAATGACTGCTTTGCTTGACACTATTCCAGAACCCATCATCGATAATCATTGGACTACTGAAGTCCCTGCAGTGACTCAAGGCAAATCATTTACACAACCCCCCCCCCCCCCAACTCTAATCAAACTCGAGACAGTCTTATCCTATCCAAGGAAGTGAGAGGGATAATTATGAAAAGCAGTACCATAAACCAAATTTTTCAGGCTAGGTAAAAAAAATTATATTACATAAAAACCAACCTTGTTAAAAAGTGCCATGTAGTTTGCTCTAGCTCGAGAAAGCTTCATGACGCGTAAAGACTCTTTCGCCATTTTTTCATCTAACGTATTCATGCATTCCCTGGAAAAAAAATCAAACAAAATATTATACAAACAGCAAGTCAAAAACACAGGCACAAAAAAAAATGTGTACTTAAAGTTGCAATCAATCACCGCTGATCATACCAAAAAGAGTTTTGGCGCACATATGACCTGATGCAGTTGCGAGCGCCGTAAAACCCTCTACTATAATAAATTTTAAAAATAATAAAAGAGTTTGGTTGAAAAAATGCTTGATAAGGAGAATAACAAAAAGAGGAAAACTGACCCACACATTACGGATATCACAATTATGTACTTCTTTCAACTCAATCTGAAGTTTCATGCATGTGATCTAAACGTCTGTTTCAAAAAAAGACAAAGCATTAACGTACAGCACGTGGATAGATATCATTTAATGATCAGTTATTCTTATTCTTTTACACTGGCAGAAGAATTATTCAGAACTCTGCCCACAAACGTGGCCCTGATATGGCTACTCAGCTTTAAACATTCAACTTCTGACCCATCTAAAAAGTGCAAAAGACCAACGCATGTACCAAACCTCCAAGCCTCCCATTGTTCTCCGAGAAGACTAGGTACACAACAACCCTCCAGCCCATATCTGGAATCAGGGTGGTGAAACATATGGAGAAAAAAAAGATAAAGTTATCCACCAATCATGTCCCAACAGCGCAAGGAACAAACCGTTCATCCCAACACACAAGCATCTCATGTCTTGGCAAATACAGCCAATCACATGTGAGGGACACCCACCTGAGTCTCTTGATACATTGTACTGTGTGAGTGAGCTTCTCCTGCAGCTCATCATGTGATGTCATAGCATGGAAGAATGCCTCCGACTTCTGGGAGATCTGTCGTGCAATTCGCACTTCCACAATGTCCAGGTAATGGCTCAGCTGCAAAGATTTTTAAGAATTACAAACATTCAACTTGGGAGCTTTTCTTTTTTTTTTTTTAAACACACAAAAAACTGCAAAACCCCAGCTGGCAAAAATATAATTTCCTTCATTTAGGAGAAGAATACTGTTATCACAACCAGTCTATATTCCAAGAAATTCGACCTATGTTTCGTCCCCCATTTCAACACCACAAAACGCAGTATTTCCAAGGCAAAATCTTGGATTAAGGAACTTGATCGAAAGGGCCCCAAACAAAACCAACGTCTGTGGTGTAATGGTAAGGTGCGTCACTGTCACATGTAGACGATGTGAGTTTGATTGTTATGGGGGGTGAATTTTTATCGAGCATCTCCGTCTTTCTGTGAGGACGTTGTATCCCTTTCAGGAAGGCCTGGCCCTCACAAGCAGCTCATACTCCTAAATGATCTAAATTGTGTTGCGGTGGAATAAAATACCTATTAGTACAGAAAAGAGAAAAGTTGATGCCGTCCACATAAAGGAGGAAATGACCCATCACACAGGAAGCACAGAGTCTGGGCATTCCATACTGACAAAATTCAGGAAGTAATGAGGGCTACAGCTGGGAAAAAAACTACAAAAAGCTGCTTCACACCTGCCTGTCAGGGCCATCACAACACTGAAGCAGACAGACGGACATACTCTTATTAAATTTTTTTTTAAACCCTTTCTACACAGAAATCAAACTCATGTCTTTTGCATGCAGAGGCGAAGCACTTTATTGCAACGCCACAGACCCCAGGAAATAAAACAAACTGCATCTAAAGGCAGTTGGTTAATAAGCTTTCAAATACAATATATACGTATTAATGTCCAATCAATTCATCAAAATATCCCCCTTCATATCCAACCAATCTAAAAAGGGCAGATCTTCAGTTTCAACAGTACATTGTCTTTGGTTAGCGCAACCTGCACACAGAGCCTCCAAGTTTTCATCATCATTCAAAAAGACTAGGAACTCAAGCATCTAAAATACAAGTGACCCCACCCCCCCAAAAAAAACAACCCATTGATAACAACATCAACAACAAAAAATACATCAGCAACAAAAACAACAACAGCAACCTGAGCCCCATGAGTTATGACCCAATCACATGACCACAACAGGGTACTCACTTTTTCCTGGAGTAATTTTGATGACTGCTTCTGACCTTGCTGTTGTGAGGATTTCGACTCTTCAATCTGAGTCCAGGGGAACACAGTGTTGAACACATCAGGGTTTTCTAGGCTAAAATGAGCTGACATGAACAACTGGGGATAAGAATACAAGAAGAAATAAGGCAAGCTATAATATAACAGAATAAATTAACTCTATGACAAGACAAAATCCTTTAGTTTTTGTGAGAGTTATTTATGTTTCAATCAGAGTTTCTTATGTTTAAGCAAGTGTTTTACAACACTTGCAACACATTTAGATCATATAAGTGCCGAAGATTAGAGGTGTTACAAAAGAGTTCCTCAACTGGAACCTCAACTCTAGCTATGTCCAACACGCATGTGGTCACACACATTATACAGCGCAGCCTTCACATTCAAGCACATGCATCATTCATGTGTACACATAAATGCTCCCATCCATAAACACAAACAAACATAAATCATGTGTAGGTATGAATGTACATGTCCTCATCTATGAACACAAAACACACTCATACAGACACACACACACACACATATATAGACTCTCACACAACTTAGTGGTTAGTATCTTCAGTACAGTTTTTCACATTTCTCAAACTATTTTGCAAACAAATTCTTTCGAAAATTATTTAGAACAAATACTTGTGTAAATACTGTATACAAACAAAACATTTAGCCCACACATGACAATTACTTCTAAAGCAAATTGTTCATAATGGCCCTACAGAGACAGAAATCCGAAGAGAAACAGACAAAAAGACAGGCTGAAATCAGAGAGAGCTGAACAACAAATATAGCTAGCCAATGCCATACCAATGACATTTTGCTAAAAACAGATTACAATAAGAGTCACAAAAAAAAGAGCAGACCACATCACAGCACCCATCAACCATACAATGCACTAAGAGACACCTGAGACAGTAACAAACAAAATATTCTTAGAGAACAGCCGTAACTTTGTGTACATTCTCTAAAATAAATATTTTTCTTTTCCCAACTTTGGACACAAATGAGGTGAAAATGCACTGAGAGCAGGCATATCCTATACAAACCTTAATTTGATCTAATTCTGCCCGGCTTTGCTCTGGAGAGAGACCAAAAAAAATTATTAAAACAAAACTCAATAAGATAATAAGTTACATTTCAAAGTGGGACTTCCTTTCATAGAAACCTCTGTATTTCATAAACTCTAAAGCAGAGGACAAAACTGATTTTTAAAGTCCCAGAAAAAACTTCTAGGGCCAAGTACTGCTGTGAACAATAAACTGAAAATTTTTCAAAGAGCAAGGTAAGCAGACCCTCATTCCAACCAGTGTTCCCCTGAGACTATAGTACTGCGGTAGCTGGCAAAGTCTATAACTTCTCTTCCCTCTTGGTTGTTAAAGGGAATTATCATTTCATGATGGACGCATTATTATTTAATTGTCATAGTACAGTATGGGTGTATTGACTGAACAAAATACAAGCTGCCTTGTACTGAGCAATATTGCTGGTTCTGACAAACCTTGGGAAAAAACCATCTATTATTTTTCTTTTTCTATTTTGTTCCTTTTTATTCATCCTCATTTTCATAAGACCACAGTAATAATAATAGTTTGTGCATCAATGCCTGACGATGACCAGTGCATCTGAAAAGGAGAATATTTCTTACAAAGAGATGGAGGAAACCAGGATTCAGATGACTCTGGCTTCTGCTATGGACAATGAGACCAATTTATGGTAAAAAAGAGTTTGCCATATTTTGAGTATCTTTTTAAAATACACAAATGTTTGTAAGTGGGAAAGAGCAAGACAAACACCAGACTCACTCCCTCGCCTAGGTGTACAATGTACATGTGATGGCAAGATAAATAACAAGACTCAAACAGAGTCAGTGTGACTCCTCTCCACCTAAAAAAGGAACTGGTTAGACCTGTCACTATCAGTTCACCGGCAACAGCTGGTGTCATCTATCACAAGGCTCCTCTGAGGCCAGATGTAACAGGTGGCACACTTGTCAAGCTTTGTCTTCATGGTTATTTGAGGACAGTATGCACAACACATGTAACATGTTAGGAGCAAGTCCAATTTTTTTTGTATTTTGTTTGCCCCTCATTTTCCTAGTCTGCATTTTATCACGGGAACATTGGAGGATACAACTTGTTGATTTTATTTATTTATTTTTGTCCATCATCCCCTTGCTTTTTCCTTATAAAAAAGTATACACATGCCTTATTGTGCCAATTATTTCTTATTGCTCAATGAGATTTTTTTTTTATTTAATAAATTAAACAAAATAAAGACTTTTAAAAGCAACATTACAAGGCAAAAAACATTCAATTTTTTAAAGTAGTCATCAAAACAATGGGGGGAAAAAGAAATTATATTTCAATCATTCCTGCCCCATGCGCTTATATTTTCAGCAGCGCTTGTACCTCCCACCGTCCCAAGAGCGTATATTCTCAGTTTTGGAGAGTACAGACTTTGCACGTTTTTTTAAATCAGTGAACTAATTTAACTTTAATTTTCATAATACATACTGGTTGATTTACATTTCAACATTGTTACATGTTATTATCTAAACCTCATAACAAAGATACTACATCACTTTTTAGAAAGCATGCCTCTTCTCTGAAATACTGCTGTATAGGTAGGGACTGGGGTTAGGGAATGCACAAAATGGCTAGGGCTGGAAGGGTTAAGGATTATGCACGCGATGTTGTAAACCAAAACAATAATGAAAAGAAAACAAACCTAAAACACTCTGACCATTTTTTTTTTCCAGTAAAAAAAAACCCCGGGGAATACTTGTATGCACCAGAATTATTTTTCATAAACAAGGGACTCAAGGAGCCCCTCATTATAGCCGTTTTGTAGAAGACAGAAACAGCATACGAATGACAAGCTCAGGTTTAATACAATTTAACACATGCATAAAAAATCACAACACTCCAGAAAACCAACCTAACTGCTTGAGATGGTGTGAGTGGATGGTTTCTCTCCCGCCAGATTGAGCACTTGTAAGGCTCGTCTTATTCCTTGAGTGTTTCTTTAATCTCTGAAAAGGAAGGTAAAAAAAAAAAAAATTTTCTATCAAAGAGCAGAACTGTGAGTGCCACAACATCTTCAAAACAGACTGCAAAGTTGTTTACTCACAGTACAGATTAATCTTGTGCAAGGAAACACAACAGAATACAGTCACAACATGTATCCTTTCCTTGCCCTCAATGCCTTTCTGATACCCAGTAAGTATAAGCCACTTGTGCATGTGTCACAAAATGTAGACAGATGCAACACACATAAACACTAAGATCTGATGTTCGGAAAGAATGCCTACTAAACAATAAAAACTGGCTACGGCTATTGTTGAAGCATTAAAACAAAAACCGAAAAAACTCATGAGCTTCACTTTAAAAAAATGAACATTCTATAATTTTCCTTTCTCACGTAGACAGTCAACATCAAGAATTAGAGTAAGAGTACCATGGGGTTTAGAAACATAACTGACTTCCTTTCTGGTTGAGGATAAAGCCCAACTAAACACACAATGTGTCTCACCGAGGACATAGCAATAGAGCTGATCCAGAATTTTAGTATGTTTCAGCAAATCTCATATTAAGTGTGTATATTTAAAAAATAAAAATAATCCTTACCGCAGACGTTTTCCTAAAGTATTTCTCAAAATGCTCCGGGCCAATTTCTGGGACGTATGGCGAGGGGAGAATCTCCACCTTCTCAAATGATTGACCCCATGTCTTGGTGAAGAAATCTGTCTCTCGCTTGACCAGCCTCGGGTCATTGAGCAACGCCGGCATGTTGACAGTGGAGTTGTGGATGGTCCACTTATACTGGTCCTGCACAATGTTGGGGTCAGAGTTCCCCGACACTTGGGGTTCATACTGTGATTGTTCCTGGCTGAGACGCTCCAGCTGCTTGCTACGTGCTCCACCTACATCAACGGAAAATATCTTGTTATTAACTTATAAATGAAATAAAAGTAAGGACTCTATCTGGGCCCCTATGTCTACTGAACATTGTATTTCACTGTGTGTTTTCTACAGATTGTCAAGCTTTTCGGGCCAAATCACTTTGATGAGATTAAATAATGTCAATAAGTTTCAGTTTGTTCTAGGGAAGCTTCGAATTTTAAGAATGAATTTGTAAAATCATTCTAAAATACATCCTAGTTCAAAAACTTTATCTCCTGAGGCTAAAAGAAGTAGGAGGAAAAACTATTTCTCCTACTGAATATTTGCATCTTTTTTTTTTTAATGCAGGATTTTTTCTCTAAAAAATGACATCTTCCATTTGACTGCTCTTTCTACAACTGAACCTGCTTTTCAAAGGCCACACATCAGTTAACATGTGTATTGAGTCTCAGTCTTCTCATGCAGGTTTATTAACTTGAAATCCTCCTTTGAGCTCATTTCTACTTTAGATTTTTCAAAACAAAATCTAAATCTTTATTCCAACAATACTACCTCTACTTCTTTTCTCAGTTGAAAGAAGAAAAACTACATTGTTCTGTAAGTGCTTTCCTCCTCTCTCTTCTTTGAACAGCATTCAGGACTTTCATTTATTGACCCACTCAGCTCTTCCCAAAATTCAAAGTGACACAAAAAGAGAAGAACTTTCTCACCTCCACAAGGAACATTTTCCTTTTATCTTCAAAAACAAGCTTTTTTGCTTTTATTCATTGAGGAAAAAACTGAAACTGTAATGTATAGGCCTCATAACAGAAACCTAATGTTAAATCACAAACTGAATTAAATATAAACAATCAAGCCTGCTGTAACAGCCACCTGACTTTAAGACAATCAATAAATGACCACTCCCCCCCCCCCCAACCCTTCACGATTTTTGCTAGTTAAATGAGCTGTATATAAGCATTCCATATTGTGCTAAAATATACATCATCCCCTTCACTGCTACACCCGTGTATGCACCCTACATGAGCTATGAAAAATTCCAGTGCTCAAGACATCTCAGATCACAGTCTTTCATTTTAATCCACAGTTGTCCACTAATATGAGACAAAAATAGGGTAAAATTGTACATTATATCATAGAAAAAAATTGCTTCATCCATTGACAAGGCCTGCCCTAATCAAGCCATTTACTAATCAATGTAAACTTAAAGGTACTACTGAGACCACTGACAGGCACTCTGATTCACTGCACTATTAACAGAAAGAGGAATGATCTAAATGGCTTTATCCATTGACAAATCCACAAGTAATCTGGTCATAAAGATAAAGCAACACACAAGAAAGTACAACTGAGACTGAACAAATGTAAGGACACTACGTATCAGCTGTCTCGACTGTTTAGTAATTATTTATTATTATAATAATAATCTATATATATATGTAGACTACACACCACGCTTTGTCCCCTTGACACTATCAGGTGCAATTATCACACATAGTAGCCTAAAAATAGAATTATTATAACGGGAAGTGGACAGAGATGATGAGGAACTCTCTTCGTTCAGAACGAGGCATGTGCAGTAGTGAAGCGAAGATGGAAATTAAATAAATCACAAGTTTTCATAGTATAGGCATTCCATGTTATGCTCTGATGATAGCCTTTTGACAAAAATACAGTAGTGTGAAAATCTTATAAGGTCCTACCAGGTACACCAATAGCGCAATGGTACTCACCATAATTAGTATGCACATGGTCCCTGACTACATGGTCATCATAATCCCTGTCACTCACACCTTCCAAAGGAAGAGATGGGCAAACACCATTCATGCCGTAACGGCACACATACGATCCACCTTCTTTGGAGCAATGGAAATCCCGCAAGTGCTGATTGAAGTCACGAGGGGATTTGAAAATGTAAACATCTCTGCAGAAGTTGCATTTCTTCCAGGCAGGGTTGCTATTGCTGTGCTGAGCTTGTGTCACTGACATGTCCGCCTTTGTTACTTTCCCAAACTGTGAGAGCAGCCAGTGGTACACACATCACTTCCACATGTGGAGTATTTCCTCAGCGCCAATCTAATTGAATGGAGTAAATTTGTCGTATTTCATTTTGTTGCATGCATCTTATTTACAGTAAGACATAACATGACAGGACATACAAATTGTCTTCTGCTGCAGATTTGCAACAGTGCAGTATTACCAAGAAAGACATAATTTCTATTGGCACACACTCTTGCTCTTTTATAAAGTACACAAAACTAAATTTACCCAAGCAGACCCAAGAAGAACACTCAAGAAATATATTCCCAAGACAGTGCGAGTGGCCTATTTTAAGTAGAACACAACACAACAGCAACTGATAATTTTTAAAACTGACAACATTAAGACCTTTCGCTGTTAAAGATAGCCGGGTACCCATTCCCATCTGGGAGAAGTGAGCAAAATTCATGGAGAGAGTCTTCCCTAACGACAAAATGTCAGGACCCTGACACAGACTTTCATTTCCGTGACTTTTTGGTAATGAGCCTGATGGCCTAACCACTATACCACCGAAGCCATCATTTCAACTGCAAAGCTTTAACTCCAACCTCTAGGAGGTTTAATCACACCATCTTTAGTAGGGCGATTTAAGATTGGTCAGTGGATAAATTAAAAGATTGGAGGGCTGAAAAAGAACTGAGCCATGATGCCTCCAAATCATCAACTATGACACTCGAGACTATGACCCAGTTGAGTAAACACTGCTTTTATATGTGAGGCATCGTGGTGAAATCAGGAGCTCATCAAAATAATGAAATGAAATCGAAGAAACAGGCATTTTTCCTCCAGTTTGGCAATTTTTATCAAATGTTTGTGTTTTGGCTCATTATAACACCTTTTTATGAATGTCCATATAAAAACACTTTTTGTGTCAATTTTGCTGAAAAACGAGGATTAATGGCACAAAATATATTTTCAGTTTTCAAGGACCTCAAGCTATAGTGTAGTTACAAAAATTTTGGTGGCCAACCATGCTACCCCCACCTCCTTCAATTGCAAATATTTTGACTTCTATTCAAGATACGTCAGTGAACCTGCGCGTGCGCATCACATTGTGAGTACCGGCTGGGGTCACCAAAGTTCATTCAAAGTCTGTGCCCTGCGAAGTATCAGGCTCCGGAATGGGGGGATTATTTATTTTTTTAAAGGTACAGTCGGAGGAGGGGTGGGGATGAAGGCAGCACGGGATGATAAAAACTGAACTTGGAGTTCTGAACAGCCTGGTTACTGTGTACGTGACACTGAGACTATGTGCCCGGTTGCCAGTTACCGTACGTAGATTGAGGCTACATGCCCGGTTATCGTGTACGTGACACTGAGACTACGTGCCCGGTTGCCGGTTACCGTGTACGTCTCTAAGGCACTGAAGTTAGGTGCCTGGTTACCATGTATGTAGACACTCCGATAGCCAAAAGGCTCACCTGCGCTATTCTCACAATAGCGTGAGAATAGCGGTGTATTAATAAAATGGTCGCGGCTATTTGGACTCGAGTCCGAACAGCCTCCCGCAGCTATTCGGACTAAAACTCTAGAGCGCGTACGCAATGAATTGTATGCAAAAAAAGGGGGGGTGAAGGTGGTGCACAGGCCTGGGGAAGTAAGATGGAGAGAGAATTTAAGTAAGAAGAGAAAGAGAGAGAGGAATTTAAGTAAGAGAGTGAGAGAGAGAGAGGGGGGGGGGGGATCATGAGAGTCTAAAGAAAGGGAGGGAGGGAGAGAGGGAGAGAGGGGGAGAGAGAGAGAGAGAGAGAGAGAGAGAGAGAGAGAGAGAGAGAGAGTGAGAGAGAGAGAGAGAGAGAGAGAGAGAAGGGAGGGGGGGGGGGCTGTAAGGACTGACTATGATCATGAATTTTATGCATCAATCCCTTTGTAGTCGTCAAACGCAGTGTAATAGCCTACCAGTAGTTTAAAGTCCGATAGCAATGGGAGACTATTCGGACTCGAGTCTAGACCTTGCTTACGGTACAACCGGTGATTGCGCATGTGCACTGGAATTTAAGTCCGAATAGCCTCCAGCGGCTGTTCGGACTTATTGACTTATTGAGTCCGAACAGCCACTTCGTAATAAAATTAAAAGTGGCTATAGATCCTCACCTGGGGTGAGAATAAAAATATGATCGACCTCTCACCCCGAGTGAGACTTGCCATCGTTGGCTATTCTCACCCGGTGTGAAACAAGACCTGTTTTCCTAATTTCAGAATACTGTCTATCGGTGTGGATGATCAAAGACAAAAGCAAATTTAGAAAAAACGAACTAGAAAAAATGGCATTTTATACACTACAATTTATATCATGTAAGCTAATTTGATCATCTACAAAGTTGCTATGGCTATTTCACTTTTATATCAAATCGAGACGAGCTATTCTCACCAGGTGAGAAGACCTGTTTTTCCTCATTTTGGAATACTGTCTATCGGTGTGGATGATCAAATTGATAAAAAGCCAAGAAAAAATTACGTTATAGCACAAAAGTAAGCTAATTTGATTGTCTTCAAAGATGCTATATTTCACTTTTCGAATCGAGCCGAACTACGCGGGTCGCCATTTTGTATTGCCCGGAAGTTCTCGCAAGATCTACTCCTTCCCCCTCTCTCTCTCTCTTTCTGAATACTGTCTATCGGTGTGGACGATCAAATTGACCACAACAAAGTTTAAAAAATGATGTTAAAAAACAAAACTAAATTAATTTGGTTGTCTACAAAGATGCTACGGCTATTTAACTTCCAAATCGAGCCGAACTATGCGGGTCACCATTTTGTTTTGCCCGAAAGTTCTCGCGCTACTCCTCCCTGTCTCTTTCTCTCTCTCCACTGCCCACAGACAAAATTGCACGCTTTTAGTTTTTTAGGCTAAACTAAAAGAACAGTAGTAATAGATCTAGAACGTTTGTTCACAGCACAGAATTCTATAATTCTGTATTATCACAGTGTAGAATTCTGTGGTTCAGGGTGAACGCTTCACTGGTTGGCCTAGGCTATAACGGTGAGCGCCCACCGGGTGAGATATAGCCAAAAGACTCGCCTGCGCTATTCTCACCCGGGGTGGCCATATGGTAGTGTCAATTGCCACCGTCACCGAGTGGCGCGGTGGCAATTGACAAAAATTGACTTTTTGTCAATTGCCACCGAGTAAATTGGAGCTCTTTTGCGTCTCTGTCCCTCTGTGTTTGTGTGTGTTTGTGTATGTCATTGTGTGTGTGTCTTTTCTGCTTGACAAGAGTTTGTGTGCGTTTGTGACCTTCTACTTCTAGAATTGCCTGTGTTGGTTCTACACCAAAGTGTAGGCTAAGGCTAGCCTAAATCTAGGCCTACGTCTCATTGAAAACATGCCAAGTTGGTACCGTAGCTCTAGACAAGATGCTCATCCAATGAAATGAAATTAGTTGAGAACAAATTGACCTATTAGACACACATTATGCTAAAGATAGACCTAATCTAGTGTTGTTTCAGACTTGACACCGCTTCACTCAGTGGCAATTGACAAAAAGTCAATTTTTGTCAATTGCCATCGCGTCACTCGGTGGAAATTGACGCTATCATATTATATTAGTGCCATATTAATTAGACTAGAGGCAGAGGTGGCCAATAAAATTCTTACACTAAACAGGAACAAAAAGACTCTCAAAATCATTGACCATGTAACAACTAGATCTAGATCTAGATCTAGATCTAGATCTAGATCTAGATCTAGATCTAGATCTAGATCTAGATCTAGATCTAGATCTAGATCTAGATCTAGATCTAGATCTAGATCTAGATCTAGATCTAGATCTAGATCTAGATCTAGATCTAGATCTAGATCTAGATCTAGATCTAGATCTAGATCTAGATCTAGAATCTAGAGCTATTTCATCTGGGTCTGTCAAATGTCTGTACTGTAGTCGTATAAATCTATAGATAGATCCAGTGTCTTACCGTCTCCTCCACTTCACAGTCCTTCACGGGGTGTCTGAACTTTTTGCCAAGCGAACTCCAAAATTTTATGTGGACCTCACTCAATTAGAATTAGATTCTAGATCTAGATTATAGATCTAGAATCTAGATCTATATATCTTGGTCTGATCTAGATATCTTACCACCGATTGCTACCATGCTCAAAGCACATATCCCATAGAAACCGGTATACAAAATCCACTTGAAGCGAATAGCGTCAATACAAAGTCTAAAACTCAGATGGTGGAGGAAGGGACAGGCCCAGGTAGGAGACATCACAACACTGACATTATTTGGGTGACAGGAATGAGTAACTTCCGTTTGGACGTGGCTGGTACCGGTGTTGACCAAAGAAAGTATCCCAATTTTTTGTGCCGTTTTATTTCGTTTATATATAGAAATTACAGGTTTCTGACTTTGATTGTTAGCAAACATCTTCCATGTCCAAGAGGTAGTATACTTAGTAGTAGTGGTACTAGTGGTGTAGATGGTGGTAACTGTAGGCAGGAGAGGTAGTGGTGATTGCGACGGAAATAATATCCTTTACGCTGCTCCAGCTGCTGTCTATATGTGTCTGCTGTTTGTAAAAGGAGGAACCGAGGACGCAGGCAGAACAAAAGTACGGACTGAGGATGAGGAGCTGGTAGGAAAAGGGGAAAAGGAGGTAGAAGAAATGATCGCGGGCACGGTGACAAAGAGGAGTTGTTTTTGTTTGTTTCTTGTCACATGCATTATCTTTGCACTTCTGAGCGGAAGCATAATTTAATATCTTTTTTATGGATTAAATGCTAACATGATAATATTATGTTATAATTCCCGTACATCACGATAAATTTGCAAGCATGAAGGTGTATAATATGTTTGTGATTAGTGAAGTTTCAGGGAGCTTAGCCTACGCTTATATTGATTACAGGTTGATTATTACAAGCAAAAGCATTCTTCTTCTTCTTCTTCTTCTTCTTCTTCTTCTTCTTCTTCTTCTTCTTCTT